TGACTGTACTAAGGAGACCTGATAGACTTAGCAACAAGTACATGCTTTCCTTAACATCCAAAGGGAATTCAAAATTCTCAAAAGCTGTTGTAACAGGCCTGAAGGAGGAAAAAAGGGTGAAAAGCTGGGGAAAAGCACCCTGCCTTGTTCTCCCTGCAGACTGGGTACAATTATTAATGAATTTCCCAGAGGTAGTGTGGGAGAGGGCAGAAGAGCAACAATGAATACACATCCCAAATAACACTCATTGCCCTTTGTGACGGTGTTCACAGGTGTTCTTAGATGAGGGAAGAGATGAGAATGTTGACTCTATGTTTCAGAAGGCTTGATTTATTATTTTATGATATATATTACATTAAAACTATACTAAAAGAATGGAAGAAAAAGTTTCATTTCAGAAGGCTAGCTAAGCTAAGAATAGAAAGGAATGAATAACAAAGGTTTGTGTCTCGGACAGAGAGTCCAAGCCAGCTGACTGTGATTGGTCATTAATTCCAAACATCTACATGAGACCAATCACAGATCCACCTGGTTGCATTCCACAGCAGGAGACAATCATTGTTTACATTTTGTTTCTGAGACCTCTCAGCTTCTCAGGAGGGAAAAATCCCAAGGAAAGGATTTTTTATAAAAGTTGTCTGCGACAGCCCTTGATGTTATCATGTCATAAGCTGATATCACACAGTACAGCAACAAAGCAATCCCAATCCCTCTCCCTGCTCTGAAAAAGATCATCATGAGGAGCCAAATGTTGCATATACAGGAGTATATACAGTGTTAGGTACCACAACCATGTGAACAGACCGAGCAACCTTGTGACCATTGGCTCTGTACCTAATACAACAAATGCTTAGATCAAATTTGGTTCCAAACCACTCTGGGCAAATCTTTTGTCATCTCAACCCTTTGAGCCCCATATTGGGCACCAAATAAGGCTGTCATGGTTTAGGAATGATATTCCCCAATTTAGTGTTCCCACTGAAACACTCCAAACCAGTGCCACTCACTCCCTCCCTCCTCTCTCTCTCCATGTGGCAAGCTGGAGAGAAGAATTGGAGGCACAAAAGGTAAAGACCATGAGTTAAGAACAATATATTACAAACAGCAATGAAGTAAGAAATGAACTATAACAACAACAATATTAATAACAGAGTGCATAAGATAGGCGAATGATTCACACGCAAGTGCTCACCATGTTGAACCCAGCGCTACCCTGACCATTCACTCTGACACCAGCCCAACTGGAAGGGACCCATCTCCCTCCACTCCCTGTGTATGGCATGAGGTGGTATAGAATAACCTCAGGGCCCTGGCCATGCTCCTCCTGGCTACTGCAAAAATTAACCCTGTCCTGGCTGGAACCAGGACAGGACATCATGCTGTCATAATATCGTGACCCGCTACATGTTCCTGATAAGCACTTTGAGACTCTCTGTATATGGGAATACAGCTAGAAAGCAGGACGGGGAGTACTGCTCAGCTTACCAACACAGATGTGCTAACTCTGTTAGGCCGCAAGCCTTGGCAAGCAGAACCCTGAAGAAGATATTGGCGTGCTTGGGTGTGCTTAGTATGCTTTATAACAAACCATGCAAGACCGTACATGCCTATGCGAGTCTGTACAAAGCTATGATTAAGCAATGTTACTAAGAAATGTAAATGTTGTAATTACTGCTATTTTCAGCTATAGCTGAAAAGGTATATATACTGAGCTTGTGGAATCAATAAATCGTCTTCATGCATGCAAACCATGGAGTCCCCATCTCTTCAATCGCCAACATATGTAGATATGAGGCCCATTATTTATCCTACATTCATGCTATGAATAGCTGAATATGAAACCATTAATTATTGTACATGATGCTTCAGTATAAGTCAGTCTATTGGGTCTGGTGGTAGGGGTGGAAATGCTGGGTCAAGAGAAGAAAGTAAGTTTGAAGAGTCCTTCATAACCCACTGTCCTCAATTTTTGGATAACACCCTGCTGCTCCTTGACCATTGCTCCTGGACTTTATTTTGGATTTCTTATAATCACTTGGACAAATGGGAGAAGACACAAGAGTTACTTGGCATAGGAAGAAAGAGATGCATGGAGGGTTTAGAGCTCCCTCCAGCCCCTTGCTGTTAAATCTGAGACTAATGCAGACCACAATTTTTCTCCTCCTGCTGTATAATTGCTTTGGAAATAAATCAATTGGGGAAAAAAATCCAGGCTGGGTACAGGCAATGGGCAGATATGTGTGCTGCCCAAAGGCTTTGCAGGGGATAGAGGAAAAGGAGCAAGCACAGGGAGAGATGCTGAGTTTGATATGCACCCAGAGCAGCAAGAGAAGCAAAACCAACCAGTGACATTCTAGAATTATCTTTGGTTATGATAAATATTAATTTTCATTACTTTATTTTGCTTATTTCCTGCTTTGTTGCCCAAAAGCCAACTTAAGGTACAGGCAGCAAGGCACAGAATCCAAGGGATATCACAGACATGAAACAAGAGCTTAATATGCCCCACAGATGGCATGGGTGTGTGAGGCAATAGTCAAATGGAAACACATATTAAGTTAAGGACAGAAATTCATGGTTTCAACTCTATATGTCCTGTCTTCCGAGGCAGAAAGATGGAGGCCCATGTAACACCTGCTCCAGAAAGCAAACTGTGGGACTATAGTAAAGCATGCTTCCCCCAGCAGATTGTGGGCAGCTGAGGACAGCCCTGTTTCCCCATCACCCACCATTGTCATAGAATCACCTAGCCTGGAAAAGACCTCCAAGATAATCAAGTTCAACTGTTAAACTCATGGACCAGTTATCAGAGGCACTATTTTTTCTCCCCCTGTGGAAGAGGCTAACAGCGGGCCTGTTAGCTAAAGGAGCGAGAAGAAGCTGAGAAGTAAGAAGAAACTGATAAGGAGATCTCTCTAAGGCTGTAACTAAGGAGACTGAGAGAAGAAAGATAAAAGAACTTTGCAGCTGGACGAAGCATTTTTAGAAAGTTAGTTAAGTCACTATAACTTCTCACCAATAGTATTATGTTGATTTATTGTGGCTAATAGTAAAGATAGAAGAAGCATAAACAATTAGAAAGTGTATAAAAGTCAGCCATGTTCAATAATAAAGTGTTGCCAACTGAGACTGCTTGTGGTCTCTGCTTTATGTCGTGACCACCTCGACAGCGACATCCCCCTCCAGTTTTATTGTCAGTGATGGTTTTGGAGTAAGCAGTCAACCAATGCTGCATACGCCAATAAACAAATGTCCTGGGCTGATTTTATGATGCTTGTATGCCCATTCGTCTGTTTAGCCCAGAAATAAGTTTTGCACCTTTAAGACTAGTTCTGAGAGCAAAGAGGGGGAAAGAAGAAGAGCACAGTTTGTTTTCAGAAACTGCACTCACTTGTCCACATTCCTGCTCCTGGATTGTGCTGTCTGCAGCACGGACAGACAGCAGGACAGAACTCTCCTTTGCTTTTAGTTAGTTTTTAACTAGCTAAGGCAGAGATGTTCCCTGGACTGTGGTTTTTCTTTTTCTTGGAAGTGTTTAAACCGGCTCTGGACTGAACACCCAGAAGAGCACCAGCAGCTTGCACCTGTGGCCCACCAGGCCAGGCCTGGGCCACGGCATTTCCAGCACTGGAGGGACCGATAACAGACTGAGTGAGCCCACGGAGGGGACTTTCTGAGTTTGTCATCTCTTTTGGAATGGCAAGAGGTTTTATTGTCTAATATTGTTCATTTTTTGTGCTGGTGAATGCTTTGCCTGTGAAATAAACAGGTTTTTTTCCACTTTTCTCCAAGGAAATCTTTTCCCCAACCAGTTGGGGGAGGGGCCGCTTAAATCTGTTTTCTAGAGGAACCCCTTTAGAGGTTTTCTCCCAAATTTGCCCTAAACCAAAACAAAAAGTTACCCAGGATAATTAGTAAATACACAAATTATTTCAGTCTATGTTGCAATCAGAAACCAGGACTGAATACCTCAGCCAGAAATAACCGACTCAGGGAACATGACTTAACTTGGTATCTCTAGTGCTGAAATAGACCCTCCACTGTAAGACCCTCTGAATTCTCTTCATGACATGGGGATGCTGCCACAAGCAACCCACACTCCTTTCACAGATAGTGAAATGGAGGTTTTGGGGGGTTTGCTTAAGTTAGCGATATGAATTAAGCATTTAAATTTTAGCTTGTAGAATTATGTGTTGAATTTTGACCTTTTACTTAAGAAACCTCTGCCATGGTACAAAGGGCATAGGAAAATGCAAATTTCTGAAGCTTCTTGAGATAAGGGACAATACCAAGAGAAGACCAGGGAATGCAGAAACCCAGATAAAGGAGCTCCTCTGTCTCCAAGCTGATCAAAACCGACAGACGTACTCAGATAAGCACCAAGGGACCACAGCGCACGTGCAAAGGAGAAAAGTTCAAAAGTTCAATCATGATGAAGACCACAACCTTCGGCCTCAGAGACCACCAAATACCCCTGTGCGACCACCACAGCAAACAACGCATGCTCAGAAGGGCGTGGATCTAATTACCATGTGAGGAGAGGACAGGCAAGGCCAGGGGTTGAATATGCATGAAGAGATTGTGTAATGTAATGCATATGGAACATCTTTGTGGATAAAGATGTGGGGGGCACAAGCTTTCATGAGAGCTATCTCGTTTGTGCTGGGTGCTAACATACATACCCACTTCATAACTACATCAGGTTGTGGAGTCTATTTATTCCACATATCGCTTCAATAGGCCCTGGAGTGAGACACTGTAATTACACTTACAGCTCATGAAATGGGAATGAAGAGCAACTTGACAATGCCCTCAGTGCCATGTTATCTATGGCAACCATTAAAGATGTGCACAGACAAAATTGCAGGTACACTTCTGTTCTCCTCTCATCAACTGAGTTCAAAAGGAATTTGATAGCAGCTCAGCTCCTGTCCTAATGCATGCTAGGACCAGGCAGGGTGATGCTGCAGGTATCTAACCAACAAATTTTATCTCATTACCTGCAACATGTTGAGAAGCAGACTCCGGAATTTGGTTCCTTCCACCATGAAGAGGGCCATTTTGTCACAGAGCTTAGCTGCAGTGGAAGCAAAGCTGCGGTCCATCACTGCTTTCTGGTAGATGGTCTTGACTATCTCCCCCAGCATTTCCTCAGAGCTGGTAGAGTTCTGGGCCTCGTCTATGAATGTGGTGAGCTTGGAGTCAACGTCACTGCTGTTGTTCCTCATGCTATTGAGAATTTCAATTAATTTGTCCATTTTATTCTTTTCAGGATTGGTGATTTCCACTGTGACTTCGTCCTGGTCCATGAAAAGGGAAAGACAAGGCGTCTGTTACACAAGGAAAAAACAGACATATCAGCCTTTGTCTTTCCACAAACAGAAAAGGGGGAAGGGGATTGGAGAAACATTTAAACAGACATAGAAAAAACAAAGCATCTTTTAGCAACACAATGGTATAATCTCAGCATTAAAAACCACAAGTAAATGAATCCTGTCCCAGAAATGCTCTTTGTCCATTTCCCACAGCACTCAATCCCAAAGTCTTCCCCCTCAGCTCAGGGAGAAGATTTCCTCAAGGGTCCTGATCCAGGATGTCAAAGTCTGACTACCCCTGACTGCCTTTGACATCTTGGACTGATTTCTCTGTGTGTCTGCGACATGGTGATAATTGATTTTTTTTTGTCTCTATTTTGAAAGTGCACCAATGTTTGCAAAATGCTCAGATAGCAATTCTACAAAAATGTCTACTTTTTAATATACTCATGAGGGGAAAAGGAGGGGCAGACACTGACCTCTTCTGTGTGGTGAGCAGTGACAGGACCCAAGGGAATGGCCTGAAGTTGTGTCAGGGGAGGTTTAGGCTGGATATTAGAAAAAGGTTCTTCACCCAGAGGGTGGTTGGGCACTGGAACAAGCTCCCCAGGGAAGTGATCACAGAACTGAGCCTGACAGAGTTCAAGAAGCATTTGGACAATACTCTCAGGCACATGGTGTGACTCTTGGGGTGTCCTGTGCAGGGACAGGAGTTCGACTCAATCCTTGTGGGACCTTCCAAGTCAGCATATTCTGTGATTCTGTGATACATTTAATGATTTAAATTGAGATTAAAGATGTCACATGATCCCAGCATTTGAAAAACTCTTAAAACATGCTATATAATACAAAACTGCAACAATTTTTTGGACAACCCCAATGCCAAACAGCAGTTAGAGTTGTCCAAAACTCCCATCAGGAGGCCAGTTGTGTTGACAATACCCACTCACCACCCAATATTGGGTGCTTATGTGATGTGTTACTTATAAGAATGTAAATTCACAGGAAGAGCATTAAAATGAATCATCTGAAAGTCTCTTCTATATTCATATTGCTTTAAAGAACATGAAAATAACTAACAAAATCTCTTTCTCCCCCTCATGCCACATACATAAATAGTAAATGCTCATGCATTCAAAGGTATACATTTCCAACATGCACTCCCATGGAGTTGTATATGTTCAGGTTATTTTTGCTACTTATTTTGGAAATGTCATTGGAGATACCCTTACAGATTAATTTTCTAGTCTGACAAAAAAAATCTCTAGAGAAAGAATCTGAGTTTTACAGGGGGCAAATAAAGAGATCTACAAATTCTTCAGAAATCTGATGCTGAACATTGTTTCAAAAAAGTATTTCTCCTCTGTCACTTGCATACAATAGTTTTGTTGTTGTTAGGTTATTGGAAGGAAGTGGGAAAGATAGGGTCATTTCAATTCATTGCTGAGATAAATGAATATCAATACTGAAGTAGCTGACTACAGCTATTCAGCACTCAAAAGTCAAAGCTTGGGATTTAGCTCTGTAATTGTAGAGAGACAAATTGACTTTTTTTAGACCTCTTTGCAAAGTTGATGAGCTCTGCAGACTGGAAGGGAATCAGTTGGGAGGTGTACCCACATTGTAGCTCACGTGTGAACCAGCTTTCCCCAAGGGTGTGCAGGAAAAGAGTTCCCAGTCTTTGAAGAACTCAAGCTGGTAGCAACCTCAACCAAGAAGTCAAGCTAAGAGACTTAATTGAGTGAATAAAAGGACTTCTGAAGAAGCATGAAAACACTTTGAGAGAAGTGTTGACACTAGGAGATTAAGATGCATTGATGGAAAGTTTTCTTGAGCCCAGCCCGCCCTTTGTATGGAAAATAGCCAACAGCCAGACTTGAAAAACGGGAAACTCAATGTTTCCCTAAGAAATAATACCTTTTCTTTTAGTCTCCTTCGCAGCCTGTCTTTGGAAGACTGAAGCAAATTGATCTTGGGTCTTTCCCTAATGCGTTCATGAATACTGTCTTTCTGCTTGGTCTCTGACTCTTGGATGTACTGCTGAGACTGCTTCTCCATATCCTCCAGGCCTCGGTGCATCTCCAAGGGAATGTGAACTGCACAGATGGCGGTGTCCTTGATTTTCAAGTTCTCTGTCTCTTTGGCATTTCTGTGTGTTTCTTTGTCATTGGGCAAGTGCTTCTGGTTGTGATGCCATCTCCGGTTCTGACTGCAGCCATGGTGGCCTGTCCTACCTGAGGAGTGAAGGGCCTGGCCTCCTTGGTAGAGCTTCTGGTGGTCCCTGTTGTGTTTGGTGCCACCTTGCTGATGATCTGCATGCTGCTGAGACTTGTTCCCACCAGGAAGTCTCTGCTGTCGCCTAGAAAGTCAAAGAAGGTCATTAGTTCACTCTTTTCTGCATGGCCCTTTTTGGTCAACACATCTGTCTCACCAGACTGGTCCTTGGTGGGTAGGCTCTGTGGGTGTCCCTACTACAGGAGGAGAGCCAATTTCTTGACATCTAACACAATCTCACACCTCAATCTTTCAGCAACAGAGATATTTCAGCTGAAAGTTTTCATGAACAGTTAGATAACATTGCTTTGGTTACCAGGAAAATCTCTCCCAGGCTTCTGTGTTTTCTGTGTTGCTTCTATACTGAACTGGGGAATATCTGGTTAGTCCCAGCTGAGCAAGGGGAAGTCAGGCAAGCAAGAAATATCAGGAGATTTTTTTTTTTTAGAAGACTTAAGGACCTCCTGATACACCTGGCCTACAGCATCATTTGCTCGTCTTGCCTGCCCTCTCTGCTGTACTAACATAGCATACTGCTGCATGGATTTGCAATGAACCGTTTACAGCGTATAAGGAATTTCTAAGTGGAAAAAAATAAGCTAAAAAGTAAATTGCCAAATAAACCAGATGCCCACACTAAATGGTTTTGTTTGGCCTTTTGTAGTGAATTGACCCCAGCTGGATGCCAGCCACCCACCAAAGCCTCCCTATCACTCCCTTCCACAACTGGACAGAGGAGAAAAAATATAACAAAGGGTTCATGAGACCAGGAGAGATCACTCAGCAAAAACTGTCACTGGCAAAAAAAAGCTCAAATTAAAGATATTAATTGAATTTATTACTAACAAAATCAGAGCAGGATAATGAGAAGTAAAATAAGACCTTAAAAAAACACCTTTCCCCCCTGCCCTTCCCAGCTCTACCTCCACTCTCAGCAGTGCAGGGAGACAGGGAATGGGGGTTACGGTCAGTTTATCAGGTGTTATTTCTCCTGCTGCTCAGAGAAAGGAGTCCTCCTGCTCCAACATGGGATCTCTCCCACTGGAGATAGTTCTCCATTAACTTCTCCAATGTGAGTCCATCCCATGGGCAACAGTTTTTTTACAAACTGCTGCACTGTGGGTCACTTCCACAGGGTGCAGTTCTTCAAGGATAGGCTGCTTCAGCATGGGGTCCTCTCTCCCCAGGGGTCACAGCCTCCTCTCAGACATCTACCTGCTCTAGTATGGGTGTCCTCCACAGGCTGTGGGTGGATTTCTGCATCCCCATGGATCTCCGTGGGCTGCAGGGGGACAGCTGCTTCACCATGGTCTTCACCACGGGCTGCAGAGCAATCTCAGCTCTGGTGCCTTGAGCACCTCCTCCCCGTCCTTCTCCCCTGACCTTGGTGTCTGCAGAGTTGGTCCTTTCACATGTTCTTACTCTGTTCCTCTCTGGTCACAATTACAACTGTGCCATAACTTTTTTTCCTTCTTCTTCATCTTCTTCTTAAATATGCTATCACAGAGGTGTTGCCACCATTTCTAATTGGCCCAGTCTTGACCAGTGGCACATACGTCTTTGGAGATACCAGGGATTGGCTCTGGCTGACATGGACGAAGCTTCCAGCAGCTTCTCACAGAAGCCATCCTTGTAGTGCACCCCCCTCCTCCCTCCCCCGCTACCAAAGCTTGGCCATGTCAACCCAATACACCTTTCTTTATGCATGTCCTTCATCATTGCTACACCAGGACAAGACACATGCATGGATGAAGAAGCTGAGTATCATGCTTGGCTCTGGCAGCATGGGGTGCTAGAACCATTGCCTCCAGACAGCAGGCTAAATGCATACAGCTCCAAACAGGTAACATGGAAATTCAACAGCCACAAAGAGGAGGAACTGTCCACAAATGGTTGTCTCGAGAGACTACAGTGGCTCAGAAGGGGCAAGCAAGCCCATCTGCTGGCTAGAACTGGTAGCTGAGATGATAACTCCCCCCCAAAAAACAGTTGAAAGGAAAAAAACACTTTGACAGCCTCAGACATTTCATATTTCCACATAGGCTGCAGCTTGATTGTCCTGAGCAGAGAAGGCAGAGACAGAATGCCATCATCAAGGATGCAACTAAGGAGGAAATTGTCTTGACATGGAGTGCTTTCACCCAGGACAGTGCAGGGTTAGCTCTAAGCAAGGCAGCACGTCCCTGCCTTTCCAATGCCTCTTTAATGCTCAGTCTTGACTCTGAGAGCATGTGAGATGCTTTAATGCTCAGTCAGACGAAGGAATTGGCCATTCACAAATACATTTCATGGTCAACAGCTAAACAGTTGCTAACGTTGCTTGCCAAAGCCATCTGCCCATGGAATCTGTATTCCTTGGCATCCCCAGGAGTTAAAACCTATATTTGAGGCCAACTGGCTCTTAACCATAAAGTGTGAGGGTTCATGATTGGCAAACATGGGAGGAAGAGGCTTAGTGGCAGTGGCAGGAATTTGTCTTTAGTCTCAAACCACCAGAACCAGTTTTCTGAGATATTCAGTGTAGGGTTTTTGTTTGGGTTGTTTTGGGTTTGGTTTTTTGTTTTTTGTTTTTTGGTTTTTTTTCAAGTTGAATGGCAGGGAATAAAAAAGAAAAAAAAAGTGGGGGAGAAGTTTTCCTGTTAGCTGAAGCTTACAAGCAGTTTATGAGTACAGATTCTCCACATCAAGTTTTCCTGGCATTTCTTTGTTTCCTCTCAGTAACACAATCACATAAACCATTTTGTAAAAACCAGCTCTTATTAAAAGGGGAATGTCAAAATACAAGTTAATTAAAACCCTTATCTAGTACTAAGCCCTCGCATGCTTAAGCATGCAAGTTGTGCTTTCTGTGGCTTTGCTCTTCTCTCAAACATCTAACTGTTTGGGTACACTTCCAGCCTTGGGTTATAAAACAGACAGACTGTTACTTTATTTAAATGGAAAATATTGCACAGAAATTATAAAAGTTGCACACAGACACAGCTTTAATTTCAGCAGAGGTAAGGGAAAATGCCTGGAAATGAGCTGGAAACCAAACTGCTGTGAATTTCTGCAAGAAATGCATGTGGGGAAAGTTTTTTCCTAAAGACATAATGATATTAGAATCAAAACTGTTTCTGTTTAATGGCTGTGAAAGAAAAAAATGTTTAAGATTAAAAAAAGCCCTAGTTAAGTCAATGTGGAATATGCAAGATTGTTCTATTTGGGGCTTTTGTACTAGATGGGGAGAGGACAGGCAGCTCCATCCCTGTGTGGGACAGCTAAAAGGTGATATCCCCATGGCAAGGGGCAGAGCAAACAGACTGAACCTCTGCAGTCACTGACAATAGGATGGAAAACCACAGAGTTAAAAAAGTTAAGGAATAAAGATTGCAAGAAAGAAAAGGCAAAGGAAGGAGAATGGTAAACAAGGATCAATGTCTGTGACTTGGCAGCAGGCAGAGGTCTAGACAATTATCCAGCATTCAAGCAAAGACTCGCATGCTTTTATCTTCCCAACACTCCAGCAAAGAAGAAAAGCCAAGAAGAAACAGGATCTGCAGAGAAGAAGAGCCAAAGCAGGAAGAACGGGACCCAGATTGTGAGATTCACATTCTCTGAACCTGAGAGCAGCAGTGAGAGAAGCAGAGAAAAGAATGATCAAAACAATTCTTATCTCATTTGCTGTTCCTGTGTTGTGCCAAAGTAGAATGCAATATAAAGATTGTTTACCCAAAGTAATAGTGTTTTGTTTCCTTGGCCTATCAGGGCCAAGTACGTGTGCAGACTGTCAGTCAGCAGACAGTCACAAGATTCTGGGCAGTTGAGTTGAGTTGGGTGCTTGTGCAGATTCAGTTTAGATGTAGTGTAATATAGTATAGAATAATATAGTATAATAAAGTAATTAATTAGCCTTCTAATAAGATAGAGTCCTCCTCATCATCTCCCCCATCGTAGGGGTCGCCCTGCTTTTACTATACCAGATCTTGAAACTTTTTTCAATGCACAGCATTGCAAAGCCTGGGAGGTTGGGATGACCCATCCTTGTTCTTAGGTTTAACCAAGGTCCTGGGGACATAGAGAGCCCCAGGAAGGGGCAAGTTGGTGTACCAGGGCATCTTGCCCCCCACAAGAGTTTATCTATTGTTTGTTAAATGATCAGATAACTCAAACAGGACAAGATGTCTTATAGTGAGTTATTTTGGCACCATGGAGTTAACACTGGTCTGGCATCTCCCAACTGCCAATAAACATCTTACTGTTGAAGTGATATCTGGAAAGATAAGCTCGATTTCTAAGAGATGCCTCACTTTATGACTATAAGAGTAAAGGTATCTCTGTACATTATCATAATTTCTGTGGTAAGTTACATTTAACTCCTAATCAATACTATTTCTTTTGCTAGCTTTAATACAGGTACCTTGATATCGTGCACTGTTTTATGTTACGCTGTAATCTACTAGTAGTTCTTTTTAGTTTTATACTGTGGTAACTCTAATTAAGATCTTTCATCTGTTATCGTTTGTCTGTTTAATAAATAATTAATTTTTATAAATAGACCTGATCTGCCATTACTAGAACTTGGGGGCCAGAGTGATTCCTTAAATTCAAACTGTTGCCAAAATTTGAGGCCAATGCAGGGCCTTTCTGAAGCTCCCACTCGTCCTGTGACAGTTGGGGACCAGGGCACCCCACAACATGCACCCACTGTGGGTTGAGTTGATGGTAACAACCTCATGCTTGTTCAAGGGCAGGAATGTAGGAGCACAGATGGCAGCTTGGGGTGACATGCCAAGCTTAGGAAACCAAACAATGTAGGAACCCAGATGCACTTTCCAACCCAGGCTTTTAGGTTGTGATGCTGAAGGGAAGAACAACTGAAGCTTGAATCACACAGCAACATCTCCAAGAAAAGCAAGAATTCACCCCATTAAAAATGCTGCAGTTACTGGGAAATCTTTCTTCTGTCCCTCTCTGCTCATCCTTTGGTGTAAGGACACAGTGCCTTGTGGGGAACTCTACTTCAGCTAGAAGAAAAAATATGTAGATAGCACAATAGTCTCTAACATCTTGACTACATTCAACATTAATTATTTTCACTTCAAA